AAGCCGTGGCTTTGACGGCTAAATCCAGCCCATTCCTTAGCTTTCCAGCCTCATGGCAGAGGTACCACTAGAGCCATTTTTATCGCCACAAGTCTATGGCGTTTCAAGGTCCTTGCCAGCAAGCAAGCTGCAGCATTCTGCCCACAGACCACACTCAGTCGGACTGCCTGCCTGAAAGAGTCAGAGTTTGCCCTGGCAGGATGGCCCAGAAAGCTGGCATTTTGAAACAGCACGGCTTTTTTCCTGCTACAGCTGAAAACCAAAAAGCATGCGTTCAGCTTTTCATCAACACCAATTAAGTGTTTCGTGGCAGAACCTTTTAATGAGCTGCAGGGTTTTGCAGCTAAAGTTGAGTCAGGAAGCCTCTTAGATGAGAGTGCTTGCTTGCGTCTAGCAAGCAGAGCAGACCTGAGAAATTGCTGCCACCAAGAAACCACGTGCAATGCTGTCATTTTGTTCTAGAATTACTTCCCAAACTGTCTCAGGCTTTATGTGGATGCAGTTATCCACGCTGGGTGCCATATGTAACATGAGGGTCTGCTTGTTGGGGTTTCTGTCCCGCCAGGTACCCCACAGCCGGCAACTCCCAAGGAAAATCACACACAGGACTCCATAAGATTATAAACTGATTGGCCCATTAAGTCAGGCTTCTTATTAGTCCTTGTAACTTATATTAATCCATTATCATTATCTATGTTAGCCATATGGCTTGGTACCTTTTTCAGCTGTCAGCTTACATGTTGCTTCTTCAGTGGTCTGCGCAGGAATGGCGGAGGGAGCTTCCTGCTTCCCAGAATTCTCCCAGTCTCTTTGCTCCACCCCTCTTCCTGTCTGGCTTTCCCGCCTATACTGCCTGCCTGGCCAATCAGCGTTTTATTAAAATATGATTGACAGAATACAGACAATTTTCCCACATCAATGTAGATGGCATTTTTTTAAAAATGCAGGTCTTGAAGATTGCTTAGGTCCTCATACTTGCTAAGTGAACACTTTACCCCCTCTCCCAAGCTATCTCCTCAGCCCTCTTTAATCTGCCTATAGTCTAATGACTTTGAGAAAATATTCTCACGATAGCAGGAACTGCCCAATTAATTTTTCTTTTCCTTCAGTTGAAAACAGTTTTCTAGCCAAACATTGAAAAGTGGGTAAATCTTCATTGAAATAAAGAATGTATTTCTCAGAGTCTTTCTCTTTGGGCATGTTTTGAATTGAAGCATGAAGAGATACTGGGTCTCTGTAGGGGCAGGAAATTCAAATAACTGCTGTCTTCCGCTTGATTGTATGAGTCATTTGTGAACTGAGTCAGGTTCTTTTTATACTAATATAAAGGAAAATAAAATTCTTTTTATAGTGTTGTACATTCAGCAGAGATTATGTACTTGGACTGAGCTCTTTGGAAATTTACTTCTTTTGTATCTGCTGTCTAACATGGAAAAGATGTTAAAGAATGAATGAACGATAGACTTCCTGAAGGGCTTTTATTCTGCAAGGTTGTTTTGATGTTCTGATAATTTGATATTTACATAATTTTATAGTAATTTTAAATGTGAACCATGGACTTAAATTTCTTGCTTAAGAGACAATGCATATTCCAAAACTGTTCTGTATTTTTCAGTTGTTTGAGACAGGTTTCTCTGTATAGCCCTGGCTGTCCTAGAACTCACTTTATAGACCAGGCTGGCCGTGGACTTAGAGATCTGCCTGCCACTGTCTCCCAAGTGTGGGGGTTAAAGGCATGCGCCACCACCATCTAGTTTCTAAAATCATTAATAGCTTGACTAAGTTGTCTCAACCAACCCACAGTGAGATAGTTTGTTTTGGCGATGTAGTAAAATGAATGAAGAGAGTGTTTAATGAATTATGTTGCCAAAAACCCACAAAATTTAATTGTCCAAAGGGTTTTAAGACATTGTCTCATTGTGTAGCCCTGGCTGGCCTGGAACTCAATATGTAGATCAGGCTGGCTGGCTTCTAACTCAGAGATCTACTTGCTTGTGTTTAGAGTGCTGGGATTTAAAGGTTTGTATCACCACTCCTGGCATATTGTTCAAGGTTATGTATATATTTGTATATAAAAACATGGTTTATCTGTTCAAGTTTTTAAAGCCTCTTTTAAAGTTCCAGTATCAAGGGGATATTTCTATTTAAAAAAAACTAAAAGAAAGAAATAAACAAACACAGTCTGGGGCTTTAGCTCAGGTTGGAGTGCTCAGCATGCATGAAACCCTGGCTTTGATTCATAGAACTGTGTGGCCCTGATGGGATGTGGCACACTTGTGATCCTAGCAGTCTGTGGAGGCAGGAGGGCCAGAAGCTTAAGGGTCATCTTAGCTAGGTAGTAAATCCAGGCTAGCCTGTTTCAGAAAAAGACCCTGCTATCACTTTGCTCCTCTGTTGGTTCCAAGGTTTCTCTTGTCCTTCCAGGAGCCACATGGAAGGATGCATAGCCCGAGTCTCAGGGCATGAGTTGTGCAACGATGGCAGAATTGAGCTTCAGTCCTAGGTTGCCATTCACCTCTGTGACCTAGGCCACTTTTGAGGAATCTGTTTTCCCATTGTAACATTAAATTGCAAAGGAACCTTCTGATGTTTCAGTGAATTGCTACTTTGCAGCACTTGGGCATCTAGAGTCCTCACCAGTGCTCAGTGCATTGAGGCTTTGCCCAATGTTCATGTTTTTCCGTTAATTTGAAAATTTTCTAGCTACTTTGTAAAGACACTGTTTTGGCCGTCTGTGGTGTCATGTATATGTAATCTCAGTACTTGGGAGGCAGAGGCAGGAGGACCATCAGTTTAAGGTCAGCCAGGGCTCTATAGCAAGACCTGGTCTCAAAAATAAATAGTGGCTAGAGAGATGGCTCATCTGTTAAGAACACTGGCTGCTCTTCAGAGGATCCAAACTAAGTTTCTAGCATCCATGTTTGGTGGCTCTAAAAACACCTGTACCTCTAGCTCCAAGGGATCTGATGCCTTCTTCTGGCCCCCGTGCTCACTCACACACACGTGCATATTCAGTCACACAGATGCTCATATACACATGCAATATACTCACACCGATAAAAAAAACAAAATCTTAATAAATAATGATAACAATTATGCACAGAGTATATGTGTGTATACATTTGTACACCTATGAAATATTTCACTCTCTTGTCCAAGGTACCGACAGTTACAGCACTCATTGTGTGCTATAGTTAAGTGTCCATCTACATCCTGCATAAGATCATAGGTTCCTTAAGAGCAAGGGATGTGTTATCTTTTCCTAGCTCCTACTACAACGTTTGGTACATGGTATTTAACAGAGCAATTGTTAATTGACTTAATTGACTTGTATGGAAATCTGTAGATCGTGTGATTTTAATCAAAACATGGTGCTATTTTAGGTCTTAATATATGCCTAGTAGTGTATTTGGAATTTTAGGAAGTAATTATTTGGCATTTAAGTACTGGAGATTAGACTGTTGGTACTGCAAGCTAATTGAGCAGTGATTCCAAGTGCCAGACTGTAACCCTTTTAAATCATCTGTGTCCTTTGTTTCAACAACCTTTAAAGCCAAGTGTGTAAGTGAATGTTCTCATTGCGTCTTCTCCTGTTAGTCATCAGGATTCTACTCATTTTCTGTGATGAACTTCCACTCAAGGTTTGAAAGCTGATTGCTTAAATATATTTTATTTCTACTTCATGGTTGTTATATTTGATGGCTAAATCATGATGGCTGGCAGTGAGAGCTTATGTCTCAGATGCAGAGCCCCTGAGTATGCTGTCTGGTCCGGTCCTTATGCACCCCACAGTGCAAAGTGATGGATGAGGTGTTTTGCTTCCTCAGCATCCGAAATTGGAGCAAGCATTAGGTATTTCATAATGCATTTCATAAGTAAAAACTCGATACAGTTCAAGCGGCACATCTGCAGCCCGAGTCTCAGGCCTGAGTCTTATTGAAACTTCACTGGTGTTTAATTTGGGATGATAGAGTATCTCATTCTTGTCTCGGGTTGCTTGGATATGATAATTTTATTGTTTCCGGTAAAATCTAAGCAAATTACATAAAATCAACATTAGCAGTGCAGGATATGGTGCTTTCCCAATTTACTTGAGTTTTTTTTTAATTCCTTGTTGCATATTTTAGTGAATATATATTAATCTAAGAAGATTGTCTCGGATATAAGAAACAAGAGTAACAAAAAGGGAGGAGTAGAGGATTTGTCTTGTTTCAGAATTCAGGTTGTTTCCATGGATACCTCATCCTATCAGGAAACAACAATTCACTTTGAAAACATCTGTGTGAAAATTTAGATCTTTGTTGCTGTATATTTATCTTCTTTAAGTAACAAATATTTGTTAAAATTTGTGTGTGTAGTTTTTTTGAGACAGGGTCTGGTGTGGCCTAGACTTCCTCAAACTTGGCTATGTAGTCAAGGCTGGCCTTGAATTTCTGAACTGTTGATCCTTCTGCCTCTACCTCCCAAGAGCTATAATTACAGGCATGTGTCACCATGCCAAGATTAATTTTTAAACTCACCTTTACATTTGATTCAAATGCAGATCTACTCAATGTCCAATATTTTAAGATTTAAATAATTTGTACATAGTTTTACTAGACATATATTTGGAAATTAAGTAGGTTATACGTTTCTTGACTGTGTATGTCAAATCCTGAGGTATCACAGCTTACAATCACATTCTTCCTTTTACAGCACCTGCCTCTGCTGGGTGTGATGGCACATATCTGTGATCCGGTGCTCAGAAGGCAGAAGCAGTGGTGTCCCTGAGTTCAAGACCAGCCTGGTCTACATAACAAATTCCAGGGTAGCCAGAACTACATAGTGAGACCCTGTCTCAAAAATAACAACAAAAACCACCAACCAAATGAAAAACAACTTGTTTCTGTTATGTTTAGAAAAAATGTTTAAAAATATGTTAAGCCTTTTAATTTTATGTGTTCTCTCCTTCTCTCTCCTTCCCTCCCTCAATCCCTCTCTTCCTCCCTCCTTCTCTCTAGGTAAATCATCAAACTGGGAAGATGATAGTTGGGGAGCATGGGAAGAAACAGAACCCCAAGAACCCGTAAGTCTTTATAAATGTATGGCTTTGTTTTTATTGATGTGTGTGGGAGGGGCATGTGTGGAGGTCGGAGGACAAGTTTGTGGAGTCACTTCTCTCCTTTCACTTTTAATGGGTTCCAGGAATTGAATTCGGGTCACCAGGCTTGCATAATAAGTGCCTTTACCCACTGAGCTGGTGCCGTGCATGGTTTTTGATTGTTACATTTCCTTTTGTAATGGTAGTGGCATATTTCAGTGTTCAGGTGACATTTAAAAAAAAATCTTTGTCACAATTGTTTTTTTTTAAAGTAATTTTATTAAATTATAAAAGTTTCCATTTCCGCCCCTCTTCCCAACACCCTCCCAAAAATATGGAACGCTTCACGAATTTGCGTGTCATCCTTGCGCAGGGGCCATGCTAATCTTCTCTGTATCGTTCCAATTTTAGTATATGTGCTGCCGAAGCGAGCACCACAATTGTTTTTATGTTTAGTTAGTAGTAACTAACTAGATTCTTGCTTTTAGGGAACTTAACGAGTACAATAGTCGGGCACTGTAGTCTGTGCTCCAACAAAGGACCTGAGACTTTGTGTGTAATTCATTGGCTGTAGTCCTGGAGGGTCAGTTCAAATCCAAGATGAAGGGCTTAGCATCTGAGAGTGCCCTTTTTGCTGCCTCATAGCATGGCAAAAGATGAATGAGAGACAAAGGAAAAGGGAGTGTGTGTGTGTGTGTGTGTGTGTGTGTGTGTGTGTGTGTAGAATCCAAATATCCAAATTTCCCCTCCACCCACTCCTGTTATAACAACCCCATCCCATGATAGCAGCATTAATTTGCTCACTCTGCCTTTATGACTTCACTCCTTGGTTCTCAACCCCTCATTTCACATGAGAGGTTAAGTGTCTAACTTGCCGCTGGGGGCTTGGTAGGACCATAATGGTGGGCTAGACGGAGAGCGCTCACTGCTTTAGGAGTCTTTATTCTTCACGAGTCGTTTGTTGTGCCTGTCATATTCTAGGTGCTGAGGCTGCATCATTGACCAGAGTAGACCAAGTCTCTGTGCATCTTAATGTTTCATCTCTGAGTCGTGGAAGATCTACCTTAAGCTGGTTTAGACAGCTTCACACGGAAGGAAACCCAGAGTCAGGGTAGCTTCTAGGTTGTTGGATCAAGTCATCGGGCTCTGTATGTCACCAGGCTCTCCACTTCTGGCTGGCTGGCTTGTTTCTGTCACAAGCAGCGTGGTGGCATTTTTTGGGAGCAGAGGGAGGACTTGGATCTTCCCTTGCTGTTCTTGGGAAACAGCTTTTCTTAAAAGCCACATCATTTCTTGGCTAGAATGAGGCGATATGACCCTAGTAATAGCTGTTTCTGTAATCACCGACTTTTATGTGTGTAGAGAGACTTCTCTTCCATTCTGTGATTTGGGTAATTTCTCATTGTATACCGTGGTTTCGGCATTTTTATTTTTTTCTCTTTTCTATTGGTTATTCTACCAAAATTTTTTTAGCTTTTGTTCTAGCAGTTTCAAAACTTGAGTTTCAGTAACTTCAGTATTTTTTCTGTTTTATTGTCTCTATTTATGTCTTTAATTCTCTTTACTTTGAGTTTGTTCTTAGCTTCTTCACTCAGGTTTTGATGTGTGTTTTCAATTTTATTTAGTTCAAATTGTTTTCTAATTTCTTTTGGCTTCCTTTTTGATCTGTTAGAAGTATGTTACTTAATTTGTAGATAGAGTAGTCTCCCCTTAAGGAGGAGGGGGACTATTCCTAAGACCTCCTGTGGGCCTGAAACATCATGGACATGCGCCCTATGAGAAGTATTTATTCAATATGTACATACCTTTGAAAAAGTTTAATTTATAAGTTAGGTGCACTGAGATGTAAACAATAATAACCAATAATGAAATGGAAACATTTTAACAATATGCTATATAAAGTTGCAAGCATCATTACCCTAGCATTTGTGGACCAGTATTAATTAGAATAAGAGTTTCGTAAACATATGCTCTCTGATATTCAGACTGTTGCTTTAATATCCAAAATGGCTATCAGGAGACTAATGGGTGAGTGGCAATGTGCTGGACAAAGGCAAAGTTCACAGCTTCAGAACACCAGAGCATCGTGGAGTGGGACACTGTGTGGTTTCATTACATAACTCAGAACAACACACAATTAAAACCTGCACTGGTTCATTCCTGGAGTGTTCCACTTATCCCTTGGACCACGACTGGATTTGAATAACTCAAGTCACAGAAGTGGAGCTGCAGATAAGGAAGACTCTTAATGGGAATTTACTAGATTTCTTTCTATTGACTATTTCTGATTTCACCCCCAATGTCTTCAGAGAACTTCTGTTATGTTCTCCCCAACAGTTTAACTCTACGGGGCCTACTTTATGACTTCATACATGGGCTGTTCTGTAAGATGTTCATCTCTGTTCATGGGGAAGGGTTCCCTGCCTTCAGTTAGGTTGGTCCGTTCCACTCTTCTGTGTTCTCCCTGATTTCTGTTCTTTCTGTTAGTGAGAGGAGAACGTGGAAATTTCTGGTGTTCTTGTGGGCTTGCCTCTTCCTGAGCTTTATCGGTGTTGCTTCACGTACTGAGCAGTTCTGCTGTGGAGCATGTCTCCGTTTACGCGTGTCTTACTCCGTGGTCGCTCCTGCTCTGAAGTACGTCAGTGTGTACGTCAGTAGTGATGCGTGCTAATGCCTGGCTGCTTCTCACACAGGCATTGCTTTTCCATGACCTATCTCTTTCCCTTCCTTTCCATTTTAACCAACTTCTGGTTTTAAGGCTAAATTATGTTTTTAATAGATAGTTGGATATTGCCTGTTTAGTCAACTTTATACTTTTGACATTCATTAAATAATTTCTTCATATTTTATGTGATTATTGGTGAAGCTGAATTCTCATCTGTTATTTGGTTATTTGTTTTGTGTATGCCTAGTCGCTTTTTAGTTCCTTTATTAGTCAGTGTTCCCTAAGGGAACAAAATTAAGAGTGACTGTTATTAGAGTGGGACGTATTAGATTGGTCTAGTACTCCAGCAATCACTGTCTTAGGCTGGCACGTGACATGGTCT